ATATATATATATATATATATATATATATATATATATATATACTGAGTTATAAGAACACAACGTTCTAACATTAACCTGCAGCTGTCAGGTTGGGAAGACAGTATGAACAAACTTCAAACCGTCTAAAGCCTGAATACTTTGACGTAAAAGCTGGCATTAGATTAGGCTTCCATCAGAGAGGCTTTGAATCTGAAAAGATGTTTTATTTGAATTTTGCGCCCAGTGAATAAGCGACGTTTTTATTTGGGAATGAAAACAAATTATACTAGTTTATTATAACTACATTTTTGGTGAAAAATTACACACGTTGGTAAGTTTTTAGCTATCGCAGTTTTACTCGAAATATTACCCAGCCTTATAATGCCTTCTGATACGTTTTTGGTACTTCTCATAGAAAGGACTTTACCATAAAACTAAGGAATGTAATTGGCTGTCTCATCAGTTGCTAGGGTAGCCTTTATAGTCCCCCTTGTTCAACTGATTTTAATTTGATCTATGTATAATGAGTTCTTGAATGGGTGCGGAAAAGACTAAGAAGTTAATTGAAAAATTATGGTGCGAAACTATCTGAAACCCTTCAGGTCAATACTCAGAGCGATTTAAAATGAATCAGCTATGGTATTTCCACTAGTCAGATGCTTTCTAATTTCGAGCAGTAGTCGCTAAGAAATAGTTATCACATCACCTCGAAAAAGCTTCTCTCTTAAATGAAGTAGAAAGGATATAATTCAATACTGTTATACAATTCAGGTACTACTAAAAGTTCTCTTCCATCTGGATCATCAATAAAAAGCTTTTGAAAGATATTGGCATCATCCATTCCTTCTACAAAACCCTGTCTATGCAATTCTTTTTTTAGCTTCCATTTCAGCATTTGCTTTTTCTAGTTTCAGTGAAGTTTCTTCTTCGCTAATGATTTCATCCACTTCTAACTGATATTTTTCATATGCTTCATTATTCTGAAAAGAAAATATGAGAGGTAATGAATCACAGAGAAAACATACATACAAACATACAAGCAGAAAGAGGCTGTAAACTTACTAGGCTGTCATCAGTTCTTTGATAATCTAAATACAATAGATTCGGTAGCATAGCGTGTATATACAACTTGTATTCATCACCTTCACTTGCTGGATTGCCACGGAAACACAAAGATTTTAAGTGATGGAATTGTCTAAGGTACCTTATCTGGTTACAGAAATGAAAAAAGATGCATTAAGATACAGATGAACTACTTTTATCACTTTCTAGTGATAGCTTCTGGGATATTACTGGTAATAAAAAGGTGTAATATTCCTACACTGTATTTTTTAACTCTTCACGTATCTAGTTATTCGTTAGGCAATTTTATTCTGGTAAGGTAAGAGTTAAGATGAATTTTGACAGTGGGTTAATGCTTCTAATTCAGCTTAAGGTGTAATTTCGAAGTTGGTTATTACACCACACTTATCTACCTATTTCATCATGTGGGATAAAAGGAACAAAATTTGCGATTTGCCTATGGCTTGCTGCAAGGAGATGACAAATGAAACTCAGAATAGCCATAGATTTTGAGGTATTTTGGACAATTGTAGGAGACAATCTAGAGGATTGCGTTTCCTCATGCATTTTAAATTGGTCTCATGTCTCAGTTTTTGATCACTACGAGGTTTCTTTCACTCTTCCATAATTTTACCACTAACATAAGTAAAGTTAGTCATTTGGTAGACATATGCAACAGATTCCTCATTCATTTCACTTCACAATATCGTTAATGATCTTGTTTAAGACACAACTGTACAGTTTGTTACATCTTAATTCAACTTTTGATTACAGAATATAATGCATTATGAAAGCCAATAATAAACTGTTGTTTCCCCCTAAAGTTTGAAAAATAAATCATGAGCATAAGGGAAATTTCTTATCAAATTTTCATTCTGAAAAAATTAAGTTATACAAAATGGTTCTTACATTCGATAGTTCACTTATATTGTTATTTCCAACTGAAAAGACTTGTAGTCTTTTTAAATTTTCCATGTTTTCTAATGAAGTGATTCGATTGTTGTATAAAGTCAAATCTTCTAGGCATACTAGATTTTGTAAACCTTCAATTTTTTCAATATTATTAAATGATAAGTCTAAAAAAAGAATACTGCAGTGTGTTGTACGGTAGAATTCTTACCGAGCCAGCGTAAATGTGTTAAATGATCAATGCCTTCAATTCTTTCAATGATATTATTATCCAGTTGTAATTTAACAAGCAGTTTAAATGCCCATAAATTGTCCATTTTTAAAATATCTACAAAGATTCATATATTTAACAGACAAAATCATTTTTTACTTTTGTAATCTAATCGTAAATGTGTAACATTTTCGAAATTAACTCCCTCTTGTCTGGCAAGTTCGCTTATAGTCCCTTTTTCCAGTAGTGAAAACACAGCGTTGTGTAGCAACTGTCTATCAATCACTGTAGGTTCAATAGTATCATATAATCGACTCATTTGCTCGAATTATTTTGCAGTGTGAAGTCAAAAGATGAAGTGTCTGTGAATGAAAGTATAAAAATTCATCTAAATAAGTGCTAATGATAACTTTTTATGGTTTTCGCATTAATTTAGGAAATAGGTAGCTGCAAATAAACGGCGCAGAAATGTCAGTGAGTAAGGAACAACAATTATTTTATAATTGTATCCTATTTAGGACTAGAAGTTTTGACAAAGTTAGAAAGAGGCAGAAAACAAAGGTTCCTTAGTCAGTTTCATACATTAACCAAGCGTGTTTTATATTATTCGGAGTATAAATCTCATCTGAGATTTTTCACTGCTGCATATCTTACCCCATATTTTATGTTCTAGCCATCTGAACTCTAAGTCAATAATAAATAGTTGTCTGTTTGTCACATAAAGGATTATACACAGTAATATATATATATATATATATATATATATATATATATATATATATATCGTGGAACCTTCTGTTCTGCCGGCCTGCGCTTGACATTCTCCAGCTGCTGTTTGATTCGACAATGTATGAAGTTATCACTTATGTCCACATCCATGTGTATCCACAAATTCACATACCTCTTTGGAGCTGACTATACTAGACGTTATAAGCGGGGACTCAGTAAAAGCTTTGCAGAACAAAAACTTCACACGTGAATACCTAATGGAATTAGGTCATCAGCTCCTCAAGATTCATCTTTAAAGTAGGTTTACAAAGCTAAATTGAACTACTCCAAAGTCATACATGATGAAAAGCCAAATTTATGGATTTAAAGTATTTTCGTGAAACCTTTTTCTCTGTCTTCACCTTAACAAATCAAATATTTCTTTTTTGAAAAAGATTTTGTTCTTCTCATTCCTGAGTAAATGGATATATTTCGTCAGTCAAAGGATTACATCCTATTGTTCAATAACTGACTTTTATACGTTTGTGGTATAGTATAAATACGATTGTACAAATTCAGAGGATTATAGCATCGCAAAATAAAATTTTCTTCGCTGAATTGTCTCTTCTTTTCTGTAGGAAACGGCCTAATGGATAAACGAGTTCAGTCTGTTAGTTAATGAGATGGATAAATTTTATGTATTCAAAAAAACAAAACTGTTGGAGTAGACTCTTCAGATTCAGTTTTATTCATAGAAAATTCTTTTAAGACTACGTGTCTACAGATTCGATAAAACGAACTATGTTTCAGTTCCTCTTGATTCATAGTTGTGCTAACTCATGGATAAAACCGTTTTCCCCAAGCGTATCCTTAAATCATAAACTATGTTGTGACAACGAACAGACGCAGATTGTCACTTATAAAAACAATGCATCCTGGTGTCACGTAGTTGAAGACAACCGGTAGAACATTGGTCATTCTTCAGGAAAAAGTCAATTCACGAGCCAATTTGTTAAAATCAACAAGATCAATAACAAGAGGTGAAAAGGAACCAAAGGGAAACCATATTGGCAAACCCATAAAACACAGCATTCTTAAGACATTTTTTTCTGTATGGCTTTTAATACAAATAAAAATTTATTTGAAGTGAATTCCCAGGAAAACATGAACTTTAAAAAGGGAGGAAGTGGAAGGAGTGAATGATGCAGTAAATTTGTTTGGAAGGATAAACCAAACCAACTAAAAGAATTATAGGGGAAGCAGAAACGATTAATAAAAAAAATCTAGCCCTGAAAAAACATAAAGGGAGGCCAGGATTTATCTTAACCACCAGATTTATACTATTTCACGAAGATGTTGTCTTTGTTACAAGTATAAAATCTTATATTGAACTTCAAAAGTTCTTGTCTTTATACACTTGTGTTATCCCAAGTAATTTAGTTTCTATAAGAGGAAAAATCAAAATTCTTAATCACCTGAAAAGAATATCATATGTGTTTCAGAAACCACACAGTCATACTGATTCAATGAAGTTGTTTATGGATCACATAAAAATATACTTCCTATCCTGCCACAAAGGATTTTTCAACACTGACTTGAAAACAACCAATGAGTAATAATTTACAAAATGCTGGCATTTCTCTTTTTTCATAATACTGATTACCAATTACTTACAAATGAATGAGTGGGAATTCTTTATTGTGAACGTGAGATATAGTGCATAATGTCTTTGATTATCGAAATGCCAAGAGTTCACGGCTGTTAACCATCATGAAAAGTCCAAGTGGATATTTAAAACTCATATTCCTGGCTTGTCAACACAATTTTTGTAGGAAAAAGTTACTCATCTCAAATAGGTTGTCGCATTGAGGCTTAGTAAGTGATACTTAGACTCTCCTGTCAGAACAAAACGCCACCTGAGCGATTGCAGGTCTTCACTACGTATAAATATGGTAGTCCACACATATAAATCCATATCATTAGTGGAGAGGACCTAGGATAATGACTTTCTCCTAGGATTAGTGAGGATGAAGTACATCTTCTTGTATTATCTCACAACGGGACCGACAGGTAAGTTTTTAGAGATGGTGTCGTGTGAAGAATATTATACTGATGCTAACCATAGAAACGATAGCACATTGGATTCGGCTATTCGAATTGCTATGTCGTTTTTTAAGAGTAAGACATTTACTTCATTGTTAAATGTCGTAGACTTAAATGAGAGGCTAATAACTTCATTCTAGGTTCTATGGACTAACGAACGGAGTTGTTTAGTTGAAAATCATCGTATCACAAAAGAACAAAGATGCTTTTCATCAAAGGCATCCAATAGATCCTTTAACCATACGGTCATAAAACTTTGTATTTCCTGAACTCTTTTTAAGCAAATTAAGGAGGGTACTCAGTGTAACTCACTGGGTGTTGCTTCACTTTTAAGCCCATTCCTGTCCCAAGTTGATGACGAAATCTTGACCCAGTGTTTTAAACCGATTAATAAGATTGATTAAACTATTTTTATATTCATATATATACAACTGCTGTACAGTACTTGGTTGAAGTCCTGGATCGAATCAAAGTGTAGAGGATTAGTGTAGCAGTGAATAAATCCACCAACTCTCTGGAAGAGTAAAAAGCCAACTAAGAAGATCCTGTTGAGGTATTTTATCGCTTCTTCGGACAGTAAAACATCTAGCAAATGTAAATTCTGAGTCTATTGACTAACTCAAAGGTATAAAAAATTGTTATACTCTCATGGACTGCAAATGCTTTCGTCCAATGTAGAGAAAGAGAAATTCCTGGAAACATAATTCTATACTCTCAGAATTTTCAAAGATGAAAAAATATTTCATAAATCTAAAATGGCGGCTGCTGGACACCAGTCAAAGTACACGCAAACCCAGAAACACCACTACTGAGGTTTATTAACTAGGCAGTAGTGTAAATGAGGATTACCACCAGAATAATAACAATCACCACCTTCAGTTGTGACACTTCTTTACAAAAATTGCGAATCATTTACAAGGGAAATTAGCAGAAACTCACCAATTGGTTACTGGAGGGTAACCGAGCTCAGGTTGTCCAGTCCGAAGGGGTCATCGAATCTTATCAATCATTTTACAGTGTGGGCAACAGGCTAGCTGGCTCAACAATCTATGTACTTTGATAGATGTTGGATGGATTGAGACAGTCGGTAGGAAGCTCTTGATCTAGGTTTAGTGCATATTGGCACTCTTCAGCAAGGCGTATTTGCAACGCCTACGAAATGATATCCCACCTGAGATTCGAACCCACGTCATCCAGTGTTGTAGTCAGAGACCTCACTAATGAGTTATTTGAGCCGCGATTTATGAGACCTGTTGAATGCTTCCAACCAACCAAAAGTGATATTCAACTAGGCAACTCCATCAGTAAGCAAATTAGCTAAATAACTCAGACCACTACCTGCACAAAATTAATCACAGAGACAAGGACAGCCAATCAGAATGAAGGTCGCAATTTCAGAAAGGCAGACCGGAATAAGTGAACAGGACTCATAACAAATATATAGAATATACCAATCAGTTATAAAGCGTGCGTGCATTGTGGGTTCATATTACCAATACAAATTGCGGATGTAAAGATAGGCGCAACATATTCAATCATTGTATTGTCCAAATTCACAGGTTCTAAATAAATTTTAATACCGGCCTCATAAAAGTCTCCATTGTGTACCGTAAGTGATTTTCTTCGTATATAAAAGAGATTATATCACACTACTTCACCAAAATCTACGCAAAACAGCCTCCAGTAGGCCATAATTCAACTTAAAAAAATACTGACAAAACATATTTAATTCCACGAACATAAAAGAAAATAACGTCCTTTGAATCTTGAGCACATTGTATACAGTAAAACAGATAGAACAGAATAAACCACACACAGAGCTCACAATCTATGTACAGATGGTCCTCTGACCATAGAGTCTGTCTCAGACAGTGTTTATTGGAGTACGATTAGGAATATTTCCTATTCATTTCCACCTAAAAAATGAGGCCCATTCAATAACTATGGCGGTTTTTACATTTTAAGGCGTTTTGGCTGTTTTGTCAGTCGGCTCACGACTGACATAATCGTGTACACTCCATGCACTAGTTAAGTTTGATCGAAATTATACTTCTAATGACAAAGAGACTTCAGAGTTTAAGTAGAATGAAGTGAATAAAAAAATTAAGAGGTTAACAAAAAACCAGTCATGTTGGGATAAGAATCAAAAAAGGTCATAAAAGTTCAATCAGGCTGTAAAAACTGTCACAAGCTAGAGATACAGAATTTCGTGTGATCTGGAGCATTCAAACGGTATGCTCATGACTCGAATCTGAATGGATCAGCCCTTCAAAGCCTTCGGCCAAACTTTTCCTCGAGGGTGTACGTGAGGGTTAGTAAACTAGGAAGTGGGAAAGTGATAAAGCTGCCCATACATTGCATCTTGTGTAAATACTCTTGGGGATTTATGAGGAGCAAGAGTATATCTTCTGGAACGCGTACAATGTTACATCTAAACGTAATGAAAAGCCACATAATTATAGGATACAGAGGGAAGGAACTATGACTAAGCTTTAAGTCTGACAGTACAAAGGCCAAAGAAACACTAACATTATCATTTTTCGAAAAGTGA